GGCAGCCCTGCATATCACCCAATCGATTCAATTTCTTGGTTCCCCCAAGCTGAATTGATAAAAGCTAGAGGTAATTGTGAATTTCAGGGGAGGGGGGCGTCAAGAGTACTCACCGAGAACTGGGGCGGAGGAAACCCCTAGAGAGGGGTTGCGACGGAGAGATACATGGATGAAGGAAGAAGTTGTGGTTGTGGCGGAGATGGACGCCATTTTTCACACTCTGACCCTGGGAAGGAAGGAAGGAAGGGATTAGGACGGTAGCTGGTTCTGTGAGAAACTACTGGAAGTAGTGAGCTTTGCAGAGGTGATATAATTTGCACAGCTTAATACTGACCATAGAATTTGCCCCCATCACAAAGTTCCATGCTAAGTTACTCTCCTTATTGGATCTTTTAGTTGTGTATAATTCTTGGTTTCGTGATATGGTATTGGAGATATGAGCAGGTGAGGTTTGGAACGGACCAGAGCATTAGCAGCAGTTGGTTGTGAGATGGTATGTGTAAAATGGAATCATGGTAATTACTTGGCTCTACTCATATAGGTAGGCTATATTTGAACCTCAAGGGAAGAATTCTCTGGCCACTTTTTAAGCTTTTTGTTTAGGTTTCCAACGTCAATGTGTGTGCCTGCTTTATGTCAACATAATCAAGCTTAATTGAAAGCAATACTTCCCACTTTGTTCACTCAATTTTTCTGTGTTTCACGGCTTTCTTATCTAACTTTTCTGTTTCTAAATTGCCTCTATTTTGGATATAACTTGCAGTTTAGGCTATGTAATCGACAACTAATGATTTAATCCATGACCTTCGGAAGAACGGTTTGAGTTTACATTTTCCTTATGTCATTAGTTCTTATAAGTAATTTGTTGAGTTCTTATGCTAATGTACGGTCTCTTTTTTCTTTTTTTTCCTTTAGTAGTTTGGTCCAAGAAATCATGTGATCATTAATTTTTTTCTTTAAGATCACTAGGTTCATCGATTTAGTTTGCCAATCAAGCATTTAACCTTCGTTTAGTTCCTAATTGAGAGCGTAAGATCATTTGTATAATAATAGTACATGCCTCCGATACTGTGTTAAGATGGAACTGAAATGAGTTGGATGTAATGTCTTTGTTTGGTCCACTTTTATTCAGTGTTCAAGAAGACGCGATTAATCTCTCGCCTAGGCGCGATTAATAGCTGGGCAGGAGGAAATCACCCAGTCTAGCTCTGGGCGATTGATCTAGGCACCTGGGCACTCGGAGACGCGTTTTCACTTTGGTGGGCGACGCCCAGAACAACTAATAAAGGGGAAATTGTAGCCTTTTTGTGAAAATCCCAAACCCTATTCTATTTCCCCTTTCCACCCGCTCTGTAGCCTCCCCGAGAACCTGCCCAATCCTCCTGGAAGATTGATCAATCTGCACTCGCATTTGCCGGATTTGGTAGGCTAACTGGGTTGTCGGCGCCAATAGTCTCTCGAAGGTCCAGAGGTTTCTATTTTTCCATAGTTGCCAACAGAAAGTAGTGAAGAGGGATGCGTCTATCGGTCTATGGTATTAATAGTAATCTTTATCACTATGCTTTTCATTTTATTTGTTGCTTCTAATTATAATGATCAACAGATAAGTCAATAAACTATGTGATCGCGTTGACCTATGAATCAATTTGGAATTGTGCAAGTTGTTGAAAATAAACACTATTTCAAGAGACATTGTTTTATGCAGGTATAATAGCTCCATTCTCTACTAGCAAAAGCAAAGTCGATCATTTGCCTGGAGGGAGGGAAACATCTTTGGGAATCTTCTTGAAATTCCCCGACTTTTATTGTTGATCATCTGACCTTCCAAAAATAGCGATGAGCTAAAAGCCGAGCACAAAGCTAAGAACAAATTTATGGGCACACAAATTTTTGACAAAAAAGTTTTTATTTGTTAGTGGTACATATTTGTTATAAATTTTTAGAATCTTTCAAATGACATAGTAGACAAATCTATAAGTGTTGACTTTTAGATATCAAAGGCAACACCAAAATCAATTATAAAAAATCCATATTGATTTCCTAAAATCATGAATCTTTTTCAGAAACTTAATTTTCACAACAAATGATTGTATGTTTGAACTATAGAGTGCCTTATTTAATAAAAATTTTGAAGAAATAATTGGAATATTTCAAATATGTCCATTATAATACAATTGTACTATCCGTATACATTAATGTTAGCTATTAACAACCACAACTGCTTTTGAAAATATATATTATTTAAAAGTGAATTATTAGTTAATAATTTTGTATTTTCTCAATTAGTACCTAATGGTTGTCGACCATAAAATTTGAATCCTTTATTTGATAAATTTTTATCCCTCCAAATTACTAATAGGGAAAATCCCTTGGAGTTTATAATTAATACTTCAATGCTTAATTATTTTATTTTCATGGATATAATAGAAAAATAAGTGAATAATATCAAATTTTATGAAGAAATATTTTTTAAGTAATTTATTCTAACAATAGGAAGTGATTTTTTTCTTAAATGTAAAAAATATATAGACAACAGTAAGCGATAGTATGATCAATACAAATACTTATAAACTAACTAATGTTACAATCAATAATTCGCACAAATATTAGTTTCAACCCACTAATAAATTATTTAGACGATCCCAAATTATTTGAAAATATGAAAAAATAGATTAATATAAAAATATAATAAATAAAACTAAATTCATCCGACCAACGGGTCGGGTAAAAAGCTAGTTCTGAAAGGAAGAGCACGTGAAGAGGTTTCCGCCACCAGCAATCAACCGGAATTTACATTCCGCAAAGGAGAAGGAGAGCGGCCAGCAGTGTTTTGAGAGTTATTTAGTAGTTTTAGTCTTTATTTAAGTAGTATTATGTTTCCTAGTTAGTTTGGGATTTGTTTTCCTATTCCTTTTAGATTAGTTTTATGTTTTTGTGACCTCTATAAATAGAGGATGTAAGAGCTACGAATTTTGTACCCAACATTCAAGTTTCAGCAATCAAATACAAGTGTTTACAAGTTAAAGTGAACGTTTTGCTTATTCGCTCCTTTGAGGATTCGGGAGGTTTGAGTGGTCTCTTATCAACTAGAGAACGCGTCTAGTTGTGGCGAGCATCGACGATATCGGTTGGCCTCTTCCACGGGTTCGAGATTGTTTGGAAGGTTTCATATACCTTCTGGCCCTTCTCACGAGTTCAAATTTGTTTGATCGATTCCGCAAGTATCTTTACTTTCGTGCTATTCAAGAAAGGCGAAAACCCAAAAAAGAGTTCGACGTTGTGCAATTCTGATTTTTGGTCCAAGATCGAGGGTCTCTTCGAATTAGGGTCATATCAAGCATAGTTCCGGCTGAAGGCGAGTCCTTCTGGCGTCACCAAGACTATTGATTGAACGGAGGTTTCATTTTCTTGTGGTTACATTGGTCAGACCTCACCAATGGCAAAGGTGCCGATACAACGACACACGGGTTGGCAATTTGGCTAACGTATAGCAACGACGATTCCGTTCTACTCTTTGAACTTCCAATTCCGGCGTCCAACTTCCGGTGGCAGTTACAAATTCGGAGCCTTCAATCCTAGATGCAGAACGCTTCAGACGGTTACAAATACATGGCGGTTACAATTACGACGGTCACAACTCCAAAAGCGGTTCCTAACCGCATTTAAGTTAAAGCTTTTAATTATTTACCCAAAATATTTAATTATACACTTGTGTTTGGTATTTTTGCTCCGTGTTGCATTCGGCATATTTCTGCTTAAAGAAGGTGCTTCAAGAAGTTTGTCGAAGAAGACTTCTTTTTGCGTTTATTCTTTTTTTATATTTCTAGTCATACTAACAGGGCTGCCCATTGCGTGACGAAAACGACTCTTGCATCGAAAAATCAGCGTTTGGCTGATTACCGTTATTTACTTTTCACCACTTTGTAATTCCCTATCTATTAACTATCTATCTCAGTAAAAAAAAAGATAGATATTTTTAGTTAATTTCATTAAAAAATGTAAGATATTTCTGAAAATATATGCAAGTTGATAAAAGAAACGCAGATGTTAGGCTTTGCTGTACATAGTACATCAGCAAACCAAAATAACAGCCCAAGTCTAATAATTTAAGAGTTGAGGACACCAGAATATCGAACCATGAACGAAAAAAGGCATGAGAGAAAAACATATTGGCTAGTGATTGCGAGGCCCCAATTCTTAACTGGGTAGGGTCAGGTGCGGGTTTACCCTATACCAACTCCTAACCCGCCGGATAGAGTCTCCTAAAATACCCGACCAAATAACCACCGGGTATGAAAATGATATAACCATACCCTACCCACCGGGTAACCACGGGTATTCGGGTAACCATGGGTACGAATCCTTAAATATGAACTTATACACATATATGCACATACATACTGTTGTCCATTAAAAATTCTCAATACTTGTAACTGTTCTAGGTCAACAATCCACACAAATAAAAACAGCAAACACATAATAATTGTTCTTGCTTCTACCATCCACACAAACAAAAACACAATACATCATATTTGTTCTAGTTTCAACAATCCACACATAAACAAAAACAGCAAAGACAATATTAGAACCAGACCACATCATATGCTCACTGCTTAAATTATGCTTCATGATATCCATCAACGCATCATTAGTAGAACAATTATCCAAGGTAATCGTAGATACCTTTGTGTCAATATCCCAAGCAAGTAAAGTTTCAAGAAAACCCTGAGCAAGCACCTCACTTGTGTGTGGGCAAGGAAAATCGACTGCTGGGTAGGGTTAGGGCTAGGGATATTGACCTTTTGATTAGCGGAGCGGGTATAACAGGACGGATATTATCGATTACCATACCCGTACTCTACCCTTTATTTTGAAATCGGGTATTACCCGTACCCGCCCCTTAACCCGTTAAAGCGGGTAATTATCCTCGTTGACCGGTTACGGTCGGGTAGGGTACCCATGGTTACGGGTTGGATTGCTGTACAGAGATTCGAGTCCGAGCCGCGGAGGTAATTAGGTCGCGGCAGATAACCGAGTCGCCCAGCCAAACGGCGGGGCAATCAGTAATAAGTTCGGACAAGCAGGCCACGTCGCTCGTTTCTTTATTCTCTGTTTCACTTCGTTTTTAGCCCTAATCGCGAGACTGACTGGAAGCTGAAGGGTAGGAGGAAGGAAGGAACTCTGCCGAAGCCAAACTGGTGTAGTTGGAGACTGCGAGTTCTTCCCCACGCTACTAAGTTGCACAGTTGCGCGCTACAAAACCTGTTTCTGTAAATCTCTCCTCGTCATTTCTCTCACTCATGCAGAGCTCTCTCTATCGCGTGCTCCCCTTATCCATGTCTTGATTGCAGGGGGGATTTCGCCTCAATTCGCCATCTCCCGATACTCAACAGAAGGAATCGAGAAACCCTAAGAAATGTCGGGCGGGTTTTTCCGGGTAAGCGCTTCTCGAGGAATTCTTAGATCGATACCTGCTGCACTTGCGGTGACCAATTTTGCGGATCTCGGTTCTGAACCGGTCGATTGTTTGCGCATCTTTTCCCTTTTTTGTTTGAAGGGTACGTCCGCCGAGCAAGATACTCGGTTCTCTAACAAGCAAGCTAAGCTGATGAAGTCGCAGAAGTTTGCTCCTGAATTGGAACACCTGGTATTCGGTTATCTTTGGTTGGACTGTCAATTGAGCTTCTTTTTTCCTTCTTCCCGGAACTGGGTGGGTTTACACCATTTCGTTGCTCTTTGATTTGCGTTTATTAGGTGGATATGACGAAAGTGAAAATGGACGTTATGAAACCATGGATTGCTCACAGGGTGACTGAGCTTCTTGGTTTCGAGGACGAAGTTCTTATCAACTTCATTTACGGCCTTCTGGACACCAAGGTATACCAAAAATGTTGGCTTTTCCTTCCTTTCTTTTCACTTCAATGCCTTTATTTGAATGGGAGTGTGCCGCTTGCATATTTCCTCACTCGTCACTAATTTAAACGAATGATGATTACCTGATTTTAGGAATTAAATGGCTTGCAGAGTCGTTCTGTTAACACTAAAATCCAGCAACCAAGCAAAAGATTCAGTCTTTGTTCCCAAAAATGTTTTCTTATGTTGGGGTTGTCCAAATGTCATGCGTTTGGTCAGCTTTCAACTGTATAAGATGGTTAAAGTTTGTGGACTTCTGATTTTTCTAATGCAGGAAGTTAACGGGAAAGCGGTCCAGATACAACTTACTGGCTTCATGGAAAAGAACACTGGGAAGTTTATGAAGGAGCTCTGGTCCCTTCTTATCAGTGCCCAGAAGAATGCCAGTGGCGTTCCTCAACAGCTTTTGGATGCCAAAGAAGAAGAAACTAGGCAGAAGCAGGTTAGAAATAATTCCATGTCTTGTAGCTTTTGGTACTGAAATTGCTTGTTGGATTGACAGGAGTGATTCCTTGTTGTTGCAGGCAGAGAGAGATCGGATAACTGCTGAGATTCAGAAAAAGAAAGAGAAGGAGAATATAGATTCCGAGTTCATGCGTCAGAGTAAGATGGTAATACTAACTTATTCATGCCAGTAGTACATTTGTTAAGAGAGGGGTTTTTGGTTTTAACTTTATTGTGTTTTTTCATGGCGTTCAGCTAGCTTCTGCAATTATTTGGGTTCATGTCCTTTACCTCAAACTACTGTAGGACGGTGGGGCTGGGACGAAGGCCAATAATGCCTCTATGGATCCAAGCTCAAAACAGATACAACTGAAGGGTTCAAATGGTGATTCTGGTGATGAGAAAGGAGCTGAAATAAGAAATGGGTCGAGGGGACGAAGCAGGTTAGGAATTTTGTTTTTGGGTGACAATGCCCTTGCTTTATTGAGTATATGTTTGTAGTGTTGTTTCTGCAGTGCCTCAATATGGAGAACTGTGAATAATTCGTCTAGTTATGTACTGTTTTAAACATCACAGTTTCTTGTTTAACTGTGAATAAGTCGTCTAGTTATGTATTGTTTTAAACATCACAGTTTCTTGTTTCACTGGTTCGGAACGTGCCGTGTTGTTTACTTGCTAGCAAGAACGAATTGCTGATTACCTGTTTGTTTGGAGGTTGCTAGAGGTATCCAACCCTGATCTGATTGGGTAGTAACTGAGAATATGAACATTTCTGTGCGAAGAAACTTTGAAAAATGAAAATATATTCCTTTGCCTTACTTTCTTCTGTCAAGATCAATCCTTTAGCCATGATATCTCCTGCTTGCATTTGATTTTCTAGAGCCTAATTTACATGAATGAGACTTGTGTTTCGAGAACATGTAAGACTGGAAGCATAACATATATATATGAATTCCTTTCAGAGTCTCTATGTCTCCCCGTCGAGGTGATCTCTCACCCTCCTCTCCTAGGTGTGTATCCACCTTGATTGACTATATCACGACTTCTTCTTCATGAGTGTTCCCTGACCATATCGATTTTCTTTATAGAGGCTCACCTTCACGCACCAGGGGATCATTATCTTCTCGAAGCAATTCTAGGTGCGTATTGAGAATGCCAGTGTGTTAACTGATCCCCCATCCTCTTTTTATCTTTTAGCTCTGTGCTTTTATTTTGTACTTTTCGTTTCTCTATCAATCAAATCTCTTAACAATAACCTAGACTATGCTAGAATCTTGTACCTGTACTTGAGTGTTGTATACTTAATGATAATAATTCTGCTTATGGTTTTTGATGCTCTCTGTTCATTTGTTAGCGGAAGGCTAAAGGGCAGAAGTTTTTCAAGATCACCCAATGCACGGCATCGCTCAGTTTCTTCTGACCGGCGAAGAAAACGATCAATTACTCCTCGCCGGGGGCATTCACCACGTGCATCTAATTCACCTCAAAGGAGGCGGTCATCATTTGGCAGAAAAAGATCCAGATCACCTAGCAGGTCGCCATCTCCAGTGAGGCGTAGGTTGCGGTCTCCTTACCGTCGCAGATCACCTTCACCAATTCGACGCCGTAGATCACCTTCACCGGTTCGAAGGCCCAGGTCACCTTCCCCATCTCGCAGGAGGCGCAGATCACGTTCACCCATGCGACGCCGGAGATCTCCCTCACCTATTAGACAACGTAGGTCACCTGCTAGACGGCGCAGGACCCCTTCTCCCGCTAGAAGGCGCAGATCTCCATCGCCACAGAGGCGTCGATCGCCCTCACCTTTGCGTAATCGATCTCCTTCACCCCTGAAGCGTAGATCAGTTTCCCCACCACGTCGTAGATATGAAAGGTCTCCACCCACTTCTAAACGTGGGTCTCGATCTCCGGTTAGGCGTAGGTCTCCTGCCCATGCCCGCCAAATATCACCAGTGCTAACCCGTCGTAGGTCTCCCTCGCCATTTGTTTCAAGATCCCCTTCCCCTACAGGTAGAAGATCTGCAGGTCAATCATCGCAAGCAAAACTTAGGTGAGTTCGTAGTCCTTAACTTTCTTACTCTATATTTGAATTTGGAGTTGTGGCATTGAGCAAGTCCCTCTTTGAAGGAGTCGAGAAATATCCTCTCCTGTACGGGCTCAGCAATCTGGGCAGTTGAGGTCACCACTGAGAGATGCTAAGGAACGGAAGGATTTGAGAAAGAGATCCCCTGCACTGTTGTCTTCACCTGAAGGGTCTCCAGGCCGATCAGAATCTCCACCATCCATAAGAAAGAATAGTAACAATGATGACAAAAGGTCTATATCATTTGCATTGCTCAATCAGCTAGATCTCCTATTTCAACTATTAATAATCAATTGATGTACTTCTGGGTAATCACACTTAACAGTTATCATATTTTGGCCATTATATAGTAGTGTTCCAAGGCAAAGGAGGGAGCTGCAGGCTGAGGACAACCTGAGTCCTCCGCCACAACCAAACAATAAAGGATCTCGATACGAAAGCTCTGATGATAGCAAAGAACTTGAAGGAAAAAACCGTTCTCGGTGAGTTTTTGGAAATAAAACTTCTTATCTTTCTCGTAACCATGGCTTACTATCTTTCTACTCTCTGATCTTGTCATTTGTGATGTTAGTGATGATAATACATCTATCCTTCACATAAACCATTTGCTACTAGGCTGAAGGATTCTACTGTGGAAGTTCAATATAAGGGCAAGCAGTCTCCTGAAATCAATGCAGGCCATCAAACAGAGTCTAGAAGTCACAATAAGATAGAACCAGGGAAGAAGGATCAGGAAACAAGGAGGTACTAATGTGCAGCAGAAAGAATTTATCCTACTTATATTGGTAAATTGAAGGTGCATGCAACCTAACATATTTGTATCTAATTTCTAACAGTGAGAAATCTTCCGGAAGGAAAGGACGTATTGAAGCTTCGGACGGTCAGAAGTCTCCGGTGCTGAGCCGAGTTGATGTTCAGAAGTCTGTTGGCAGGCTTTCACATGTGAACTTTATGAAGGATGATAGACGCCAAAAATCTGATACAATAACTTCAATTGGAAAGGTTGACAAAAGTAATGGTGGCAGTAGACTGGATTCTGATTCAGACAGAAGTGGTAAGCACAGAATTGAGGGTAAGGAAAAAAGAAAGCATAAGAGATCACACAGACATGAAACATCATCCGATGATGATGAAAGTGATTCTGAAGTTGATGAAAGGAAAGAGGTCAAGAAAAGGAGGAAAGAAGAAAAGAAATCACGCAAGGAGGAAAAACGCCGTAGACGTGAGGAGCGGCGCCGTAAAAGAGAAGATAGACGGGCTGAGAAGCTGAAACTGAAGGAGAAAGATGATACTGATTCTTCTGACGATGACCGTGTAGCCAGGAGAAAAAAGTCTTATATACGTGACGATGAAGAGGAGCATTCTGAGCAGAAACAGCTAGAGATTGAGTTAAGGAAGAAGGCACTCGAATCACTGAAAGCCAAGAAGAGCATTGATCACTAAGTCATGGCATTGCGTGTTTGCGATCTTGGATTATCTCAAATGATCTTTTCTTTCTAAGCTGTTTTACTGTTTCTAAGAACTTTTGCTATGAATGGAAGTAGTTATTTTTATAACCTTTTAATGTTAGTCTGTGTTTGCTGCTGGCAGCTGAAATGGATAAATGATGGATTTCCTGAGCTATTCTCTTGACTGCCCCTATATCCAGATCTTCCTGCTAGATTTTCTTATCCAGATCTTCCTGCTAGATTTTCTGGTAATAACTGTTTCCCCTTTGTTGGGAATTCTGATAGTGTTGTTAATGGATGTCAGCTTTAGTTAAGCATGCTGATGTCTGATGTTACTTGTGTAAACATTGCACTTACTTATAAGCACTTGTCAAGTTTGGTGTGCCCTTGTCTCGCTTTTCATGGTTGTCTGCTGATATGAAAAGAGTACTGTTTTCAGAATTAAAATGATGCCTACAGGTCTGCTCATGATTTCAATTCATTGATGTCCGGTTGATACTAAGTAAGCTTTCTGGTCAATTGGTAGATGAAATAATTGACAACTTGATGCATACTCGAGTGGATTATGTGCAGGCCTACACTATGAACATATGAACATCGAATCAGGTGAAGTACCTCCTCTCTAGTTCTCTGTGTTTGTTTATATAAACTATGGTGGATCTACAACCTGAAAATAAATGGTAGTCATTCTACTTCTTTTGCTAGGCTTCTCTCATTAGATTATACCCTTTATGCTTGCAGCTTGAGAATTGTCTCGGGGCATTTGTGTTGTAAATGACTATATGGCGATGCAGGTTCAAGGACTAACTCCCCTCCCCCAAATTGACATGTGTAAGAAGAGTATGAATTGCCATGGATATTTATGCTGAGATTGGTGATGATATTGTATGAGTTTGAGGTAGATATTGTGGTTCCATTATCTCGACGGCCTATCGATGTTTCCTTTTTCCCCCCCTTCATGTTTTAAGTTACTTAAGATTCTAATTCATAAGCCGATACATGAAAAACTGCATGATCATTGAGAGCACTCATTCACAGTTGTCATTTCTGATATTGGAAGTTAGAAGTTCATGGTGACTGGGTTGTAATGATTAGGTTGATCCACGTCGAATGCCTTTTGCTGGGTAGCTCTTACTAGGTCGTACGACTTTTCGTTGAAATTGCTTGGTATCAAGTGTGAAGGGCTGATGATCTGACTTAGTTAGGTTTGATTTGACTATCGAAGGGAGAGAGTGCCGATTGGCATCCGCTCACAATCTGCTCCCTCTTCTGCATCGTGTCGAGTCATGATAAGTGCTTCTGAACTTTGCAGATGTGTGTTTAAAGATGTTTGTTTGTTTCGTCATTGCTAGTCCACCAAAGCCTAGCCGGTTCCAAACCCACGTTTTTGTTTAGCGTCCTAGACCTTTCAGCTTCTCTTCTTGCTCGTTAGGTTAATAGGTTGCTGGAGGTTCTGTAGTTCCAGAGAGCATTGTGCTGTTCAACTGTTCTTTTTTTGGTTCTTATAATAAGCAAATGCCGATAGTTTATAGTTAAGACTTAAGAGGATGGTAGCTTTCTTATTTGGAAATGGTGCATGTGCAGAAAAAATTTAAGAAACCAGTGGTGAGTGCAAGAATCATTGCAAGCTTGTGTCCCAGTAATAGGCTTTCGTCCAACAAAATTTGCTGCGCGACAAGCTTAAGTAATCAGTATCATTGAAAGCACGTTCAGCTATGCCCAAAATATTAAACACGCCCTGGTCCTGTTTGCTTCGTCGCTGATGTTACAACGCGGCTCATGATATGATTTGAATTCATTATGATCTGGAGAAAAGAGCACACTTCACTAATGGATTCTCGACTGCTTTTATGCATTTTCATCCCATCAGCATTAGGATGTTGCTTTATCATCTGAATCTGATGTCTGATTTACCTTTGCAAGAAGTTTCATTTTCGGTAGCCAGGCGCTAATACATACAGAATATAAAGTCTGTCTGTCTGGCGTGAAGGTTCTGTTGAAGTGGATAAGCTAGGCTACGTGGCACATCTCCATTCGCCCAATGCCCCTAGCCTTCCCATCCAGATAATCCCCCATATCCAAAAACCTCCACAGAATCGCATGTCAGATGCCCACTCGGAATCAGGATACGGATGGCCAGAAAATATTATCTGCAAACAACAAACGTTAGTAGCTGACTGAAATCTCTTACGTAACTCTTCTTCTTCTTCTTTTCTTGGGAGTGCCTGAGCTTCCATGGCTCCTACTCTAACCTCCAACCCGTTCCACCTGACCAGAGCTCCTCATTCTACCCTCTCCCTTCGGAGCCACAGGTTTGCCGTCTTCGCCAAGAAATCCGGCGGACCCTTTTCTCCCTTTCAGATCGGCAAACCAAAAGAGGACAGCTCCGAAGGTGGCGACGACGCGGGAACTGCCGGCTCAGGCATCCAAAACCCTTTCGCAAACTTCAAGTTCGGCAAGGTACCCGATGCCAAGTCTTTGATTCCTGTCGTGAGTAACCCTGCTGCAGCTCTGCAGTTTGGCAACCAGCGACGGAAAGACCCTCGCACCGTCTTCGTTGCTGGCGCCGCCGGCCAGGTTGGTGTTCGAATTGCTCAGACATTGCTGCGGGATGGGTTTAGTGTCAGAGCTGGCGTCCCTGAACTAGACGCGGCTCAGGAGCTGGCTCGTCTCGCGGTCGCTTACAAGGTTAGCTGCTGCTCTCGCATTTCCTTATAATCACTCTCGTATGAGTTCAATTTTGTAGTAACTTGTGTTAATTTACTACCGCTAGATCATATCCAATGAGGAGTCCAAGCGCTTGAATGCAGTTCAATCCACATTCGACGACACGGAATCAATCGCCAAGGCCATCGGCAACGCCAGCAAAGTGGTGGTGACGATTGGTCCCTGCGAGAACGGTCCCACGGCCGCGGTGTCCACATTGGACGCCTGGCAGGTAGTTCAGGCGGCACAGCTTGCCGGGGTCGGCCATGTTGCCATCATCTACGATGGCAGCGGAGCAGGAGGAGGGTCTACTTACAATGTGCTGGATGGCTTCAAGTTATTCTTCAACAACTTGTTTTCACAGTCTCAGGCGCTGAGCGTGCCGGAGTTTCTGCAGAAGGTGGTTATCGAGACAGAAGTCAGCTACACTTTCATAAACACGAGCTTGACCGATGATTTCAAGCCGGAGAGTTCTTACAATGTGGTTGTGTCGCCAGAAGGAAGCTTGGGTCCAGACGACTTCAAAGTAATGTAATGTATGCTGCGGATGGTTTCTGGTTTCAGTTTTCTGTGAAAGTTTGAAGTCTATTCTTTTCCCTGACTGCAAAAGTGTCGAAAAACTCTGCAAATTTGTTTGGTTGAATGTAGTTGGGAGGGTAAAATTAACAATTGCATGCAATTGTACATATATTACCGTTTTTTGTTGACACTTTTGATGTATTTGATATGATCAGGTAGCCAAGTCGAAGATAGCAACACTGGTGGCCGATGTGTTCTCAAACACTGCAGTAGCAGAAAACAAGGTACATTCAGAGGGAGCCCAATACTAGAGAGGATTATTCTTGATTCCCAAATTCGGAATGGAATAAGACTTGAATTTTGCCTTTGGTCCGTTATAGGTGGTGGATGTTTTCACGAATCCATCAGCACCTTTGAAGTCTGTGGATGAGCTTTTCAGGTAAGGAAGTAACAGTTGTTCTGAGATTCTTTATGGCATTTAGTAGTACATTAGCTCAATAATGTGACAATGGGCGTGTGATCATCGTCGATCAGTGCCATTCCCGAAGATGGGAGAAGGAAAGCGTACGCCGAGGGTCTTCAAAAGGTGAAAGCCGAGGAAGAGGCAAAAAGTGCAGTTGAGAAAGCTCGTGAAGCAGCGGTGAAGGCCCAGAAGCTTGAAGAAGAAGTAAAGAAGCTGTCGGATCAAGAAGCTCAAGCCAGTAGCTTAGCAGAGCAAGCACAGAAGAAAGCCGAAGCTGCAGGGGTTTCAGTGGAGGACGTGATGGGCAAGGCTAAACGGTTCACTGCAGGGTTCTCATGGGAGAAACTGAGCTCCCAAATCTCGGATGCAGTTCAGACTGCCGGCGTGGAGATCCCCAAAGTGCAGGTTGCTACCACTAGGGGACAGGCAAAGGCTCGTTCTTTGCCCACCCAGAAAGCTGTGGTCAAACAATCTGCTCCTAAACCGAAACCAAAGCCGGCTGCGGCGGCAAAGAAGAACCCACAAGCTGGCGAGACCAAACAGACCGAGGACAAGAAAGAAGTGAGGAAGATCTTTGGCGGGCTGTTTCAGCAAGAGACTATCTATGTCGAGGACTGATGAGGCGCGACATGATCGTATATATATATAGACATCTATATATTTTCTGTTTTAGATACTGCAATTTTCTCGTAATGCTACATCTCATGTTTCAATCATTTGTTTTCTGAAAGTTTGTAATTGATGTGAACTATAACTTGGAAAGAAAATTTAGCTTGGTAGCATAACACTTCTACTAAAGGTAGCAACAGGGCCGGGTAATCCTCACTTCTTGGGTCGATCATTACTTGGTTGAATGTACGTGTAGATGTAATTTCTGAGCATCTCAAAGGTTGTCGGAGGTCTGCCACAAGTTCTTCTAGAGTATCACTCATTCACTCTTAACGAGAATCTGCCAAATGTTCCTATAGAATATCGCCCTTAATGAAGATGTCATCCACGCAAGCCTCCACTTTTCCCTCATAAACTAGCAATCCAAGAAGCAACAAACAGTCTCAAGGTACTTAGCAGAAGCAAAATACAAGGCTATGGCATACACCTCTAAAGAGCTTCAATGGATAAATCCCTTGTTCCAACAACTCCTTCTATGGTTAGTAAATATTCTGTTTAATACACGTATATGTACCCGTGTATACTTTATCCGTTTAAAACTTTCATATCCGTTTTATTGTCAAGCCGTTTCATTTCCCCGTTCATTTGATGACTCCCGTACTAAACACGTATAAAACCCGTACAACACGTTTATTAGCCGTATTTTATGAATTAAATTATTAACTTTACTATTTGTTTCACCCTAGAAAGTACTCCAGTGCTTAACATGATAATAAATGGGGGCTCCGATCTAGACTTCTTGTTCGATCTCTTTGGGAGGCAAGGAATCTGTGAGGAGGGGGTGGCCCCCGGGATCTACGCTCCCACGCCCAAATTAGTACGAAATATGATAGAATGGTGGTAGGTGAATGTAGAGAGAGAGAGAGAGAGTTTAGAGAGAGAACCGTCGGTGGAGAGAGTGTGGGAAAGGAAGAAGAGGATCCCCCGCTTAGAGGGTCTTGGCCTCCTTATATAGTATTTGGGCCTACTTGAGTAGGCTTGGGCCTAGTACACATTGCGGTGGGTTTGGGCCTATTGATAGTCGTTTGTCGTATTAGGCGGATTAATGCACACCCAACAATTGCCCCTTTACTTCTTGTATTCTGTAAGAATGGATGGAGTAAAATAATGTCATAAAACGTATTATTTGCCCTACTTTTGAGACTGGATGATGCATTTGCCCTTGAGCCTGTCGAGAGGCGTTATGCTTTTGAGTGTGGTCGATGTGTTTTGCCCCCTTGTACGAGTTGCGTGACATTATTCTTGTCCATTGCTTAGATTTTGATGCCTTGAGTTAGAGCTCTCAAATCGTTTGATATTTGTCCCGCTAGCCCATTGTTGTTAACTATGTGCTAGGGAGGGTGGCCCCCATGTCTTGGGAGCTGTAACTCAAGACATTCCCGGAGGCTGGAGATGTGGGTTTTCGAGACTAGTCCGGAGTTCTGTCTTCCAGCTTGTGTGGAGGCGTTTATCTTTTGAGCCAATCGGGAGGCGTTTGTCCTTTGAGTATGTCGGGAGGCGTTTAAGCTTTGAGCCTGTCGGAAGGCGTTTAAGATCTGAGCCTGTCGGGAGGCGTGTCTTCTCTTAGCCTGTCGGGAGGCATTTATACCTGTCGCGAGGCGTTTTAGCTTCGAGCCTGTTGGGAGGCATTTTATGTTCAGCTTGTCGGAAGCCGTTTTTAGCTTCGAGCCTGTCGGGAGGAGTTTTATGTTCAGCCTGTCGGAAGGCGTTTCTCATTTGAGCCTGTTAGAAGGCGTTTAACTTTTCAGCCTGTCGGGAGGCGTTCTATGTTCGGTCTGTTGGGAGATATTTTTCATTTGAGCCTATCGGGAGGCATTTATGCTTGACGGAAGGCATTTCTCTTTTGAGCCGGTCGTAAGGCGTTTCCCTTTTGAACATGTCAGGGGGCGTTTATGTCTGACAGAAGACATTTCTCTTTTGTACCTGTCATAAGGCGTTTCTCCTTTGAGCCTGTCGGGAGGCGTTTATGCCTGTCGGAAGGCGTTTCTCTTTGAACCAAGCCCAGGGACGGGAGGCATAAATCTTCAAGCTAAGCCCGGAGGCGAGAGGCGAATGTTTTCGTGCCTTGGGGGCGTTGCTCCGGAGTTGTTCTGCCTTCGGGGTGGCGTGTTATGAACAACTCCATGCATCAGAAAGCATTTGTGGCGTTTTATGACTTATGAGCGTCTCCTGCCCCGGAAGGCATTTCATGGTTGGGTTGTTCTGCCTTCGGGGTGGCGTGTTATGAATAACCCTACCTCGGAAGGCATTTTACGGAGTCACTCTGCCTTCAGGTGGCGTTATATGAGCGATCTCCTGCCTCGAAGGGCATTTCGTGGGTGGGTTGTTCTGACTTCGGGGTGGCGTATTATGAACAGCCCTGCCTCGGAAGGCCTTTTATGGAGTCACTCTGCCTTCGGGGTGGCGTTTTATGAGCCATCTCCTGCCTCAGGAGACATAGATTTTTGAGGCAAGCCTAGAGGCGAGAGGCATGTTTTCGTGCATTGGGGCGTTGCTCCGGAGTTGTTCAGCCTTTGGGGTGGCGTGTCATGAACAACTCCATTCATCAGAAGGCATTTTTGTGGTTGGGTAGTTCTGCCTTCGGGGTGGCGTGATATGAACAACCCTGCCTCGGAAGACATTTTATGGAGTCACTCTGCCTTCGTTTGGTGTTTTATGAGTGAACTCCTGCCCCGGGAGGCATAAGTCTTCAAGCTGTGGGGCGTTGCTCCGGAGTTGTTCTGCCTTCGGGGTGGCGTGTTATGAACAACTCCATGCCTCGGAAGGAATTTCGTGGTTGGGTTGTTCTGCCTTTGGGGTGGCGTGTTATGAACAACCCTGACTCGGAAGGCATTTTATGGAGTCGCTCTGCCTTCAGGGTGGCGTTTTATGAGCGATCTCCTGCATCGGGAGGCATAGATTTTCGAGCCAAGCCCGGAGGCGAGAGGCATGTCTTCGTGCCTTGGGGCATTGCTCCGGAGTTGTTATGCCTTCGGGGTGGCGTGATATGAACAACTCCATGCCTCATAAGGCATTTTTGTGGTTGGGTTGTTCTGCCTTCGGGGTGGCGTGTTATGAACAACCCTGTCTTGGAAGGAATTTTATGGAGTCGCTCTGCCTTCGGGGTGGCATTTTATGAGCGAACTCCTGCCTCGGGAGGCATAAGTCTTCGAGCCAATCCCGGAGACGGGAGGCATAAGTCTTCGAGCCGTGAGGCGTTGCTCCGGAGTTGTAATGCCTTTGGGATGGCGTGTTATGAACAACTCTATGCCTTGAAAGGCGTTTTTGTGGAGTCACTTTGCCTTCGAGGTGGCATTTTATGAGTGATCTCCTACCTCTGGGGGAATAAGTCTCCGAGCCAATCCTGAGGCGAGAGACACTTGTGTCTTTGTGCCTTGGGGCGTTGCTTCGGAGTTTTTTTTGTATATGATAAAGATGTGAGTGACTAGTGTCCAATATATTTCGACTGTAAAAATGAGCATAACATGTTGCGGAGAATATCCTAGCATGTTTATAGTGAGACTCTTCATGGCATTGAGTTATATTCGTCTATCATAGTTGCAATGAGCATCTTCATGGCCCGACACGTGAGAATTTTTTTTTTGAAGGAAGTGTCAGACTGGCGTACGCCAGGCGTATACTATACGTCAGGTACTACTAGTGAGATATCTCTATCTAGACCATGAATTAAATCGAGTTTGGGGTATGATACTATACCCTAACCTCTAATGGATAAACCCCAGTCACCGATTTTCTAAACCCAACCCGAAGTTTGATTTAATGAAAAACAAAAATTGACCGTTAAGATCGGCCAAAACACATCTAAGTACATCTAACGGCAAGATCACCCAACGTATAGTATACGTCTGACGTACAATATACGTCTGACGTGCAATATACGTCTGACGTGCAATATACGTCTGACGTACACCAGTCATTACCTTTGAAGGAAATATACTTAACTTGGAAAAGTTGGAGACAGCCGAATATTGGATATTAAATCTTGTGGCGTAAATTGAATGTACAAAGAGTCTTGTAATCGAGTGGTATGCGCTCCAGCTTGTTGAAGGTTGAGACGCGGGTTCCATCATTAGCGGACGCATTTATCCTATTTTTTAGTGAATATGCTTTCTGTCTCCCGTTGGGCTTGATGTTGATAGTTGAGGCATGGGCCTCAGGAGCGTAAGCTGGATCCGAAGGCGAGATTTGAAACTGGTAGCGATGCAGGCCGGAATGTGGGCCTTCGATTGGAAGCTTGATGGGAGAGCGGGTTTGTAAGTCGTGTCATGTCTGGAAGACAAGCCCTTGTCTTGTCGTGGATGTGGGCCCGATTTGAGTGTGGCGGGCCGTGATTGAACGTGTTACTGGCCGAATTTGTATGCGCCCGACAAGGGTGGGCTTCGAGGGCAGGGCGGGCCCAAGTTGTGAATTCGGAGGCGAGTTGGGCCTGGTGTGTGCGGGCCGCTGTTTGGAGGCGAGCCCACATTAAAGAAATGTAGAGACGTGTGCGTCTTGTTGCGGATTTGGGAAGCAGGATAGGCTGGATTATGCATTGGAAAAGCAGGCTGGACGCATTTGAAAGCGTGCTCCTTGGTAGGGCTGTTAATGAACCAAGCCACTCATGAACGACTCGGTGTCCGACTCGAGAAAATCTCGTTCGACACTCGATTCTTCTTAATTGAGCCGGTTCGCGAACTAGCTTGTTAACTAAACGAGCCAGAACTCGAGCCATACCATGTTCAGCTCGAAAGTTCGCGAACAAGCTCATTTAATTGTTTGACATGAAAAAAAAGATTAGAATTCATGTACTTTATGAATTGAAATTGTGAGAAATATTGTGTTTTACTTTCATGTACTCTAAGTCAATCTTGAGCTATCATGAATATTTTATTAGCTGAACTCGATCTTGGGCTCGTTAAACTTATTTGACTAGCCGGGCTCGAGCTTTCATTTTCATAAACAAGCCGAGCTCGAGCTTGAATATTAAAGAGCGTGACGAACACGAGCCGAGCTCAAGCCTAGAAATATAATAACGAGCCAAGCCCGAACTTAGAAAAGCTCGGTTTGATTGGGCTCATTAACAGCCCTACCCCTTGGACAAAGGGTGGCTTGTTCTTGATTTTTCTTATTACACGCTTCTTTTCTAAGGCGTTCGATGTTGCCGCTCAATCTTCTAGCGTTTCCTTTGCGATTTCGGCAGCGATCTATTCTTAGACTGGCGAGCAATGACGGATCGCCATGAGACTTTTTTTGAGGCGTTAGACACCTCTACTTCTGCTTCTTCCAGTTGCATGCTGCGGCACACTCTCGTTGACTGGCATTCTTTCAAATTGCTGTTTAGAGTGACGCTTCCGAGGGGCGAGCTGGTTGACTGACTGTTTTGCTACTGCTGACGAAGCGGATGCAGCCCTCGGCTGGCGTCTCTCTCATTCACTCCGCCAGATTCACTAGACGTACTCTATTGCCTCGATATTTGAACACCTCGATATTTGCGTCCGTCTGCTTCTTTGACTTTCTCTGACATAGATAGAAGATAGATGTAGGCCAGTTTTTGGGAAAAAGTTCCAGGAGGGACGTGACGACAGATCAAGATTGTAGGTCTTCTACTTTTACTCAACAGAGCTCCGACACCATCTCCGGCGGCCGGAAAATTGAACTTTTTCAGTCTTGTTCTTCGGCTGTAATCCAGAAAGAGGCAGATCTGATTTTTTCCTAGAGGCATTTGGCATGGCTACAAGCG